TTTACTTTTTTTTTTTCCTGAAAAAACCCTCACGTTTGACAATTGTTTCGGAGGGTTAATCTCAAAAAGGACCTTGTGTTTTGTGTTTTTTCCGGATTAAACCTCAAATTTTTTTTGCCTGAAAAAAGACCTTGGATTTTCTCATTTTTTCCGATCAGGTCCTTTTAGTCATTCTTTCCAAAATAATTGTAAAATGTGACGGTTTTTTTCGAGAAAAACTAAAAAGGTTTGAGGGTTTATTTGGAAGCATTTAGAAGGTTGAGGTTTTTTTTTGGAAAATAATACAAAGTTGAGGGCTTCTTCGTAAAAAATGAAAAAAATACAAGGTCCTTTTCAGGCAAAAAATAAATTTGAGGTTTAATCCTGAAAAAACACAAAATATAAGGTTTTTTTTTTTAGATTAACCCTATTTCTGAAGAAAAAAGTTGTGGGTTTTTTTTGGAAAAAAAGAAAAAATCTGAGGGGTTTTTTTGGGTTTTTCCTGGAAAAGTGTTCAAAACCGAAGATTGCCGATAAATCTCTAAAAGGGCCAAATTGGAATAAATGGAAAAATGCAAGGTCTTTTTCATAAATAAAATAAAATTCGGGTTTAATCCAGCTAAAATATTAAAATAATTTTATTTCTTTACCTATAATAGCAATAAAGAAAGTAATTTTATAACTTTCATACTTTATTTTTCTATTATCGGTAAAGAAATGCAAGTATGTGCTGCTATCATGCATAATAAAGAGAGTAATTTTATAACTTTTAATTTTTTATTACATATTGCTATTACTTATAAGTTATAAAGAACTGTAAGTATATTGCTATTATAGGTACAAAAAACAAAGTACATTCCTTATATTGATGATGAGAATAAAGTACATTGCTATTATCTAATATTTTAATGGAAAATTTTGTTTGAACAGCTTTTCCCAAATCTTGATAAGGTGGTTTTCTTGGATGATGATATTGTAATACAACGTGATTTATCGCCACTTTGGGACATTGACCTTGGTGGAAAAGTCAACGGGGCAGTTGAAACTTGTAAAGGAGAAGATTCATGGGTGATGGGTAAGCGATTCAAAATCTACTTCAACTTTTCTCATCCACTTGTAGCAAAAAATTTGGACCCTGAGGAATGTGCTTGGGCTTTTGGGATGAACATCTTTGATTTGCGTGCATGGAGAAAGACTGATATTAGAGAAACATATCACTCATGGCTAAAAGAGGTAAGCCAAAAAAAAAAATATTCATCACATCTCTTTGTTTTAGGTTGTGTAACATTTTGTTGATATATTTATTTGGACCCAACAGTTCATTCATAAAATGACCATTTTGCCCTTGGACCAAAACTGAAAAATTAGTATACCACAGGGACCAAGTTTGTAATTTCTTTAATTTTTTTAAATATGGTCTATTATATTTTGTTAATATATTAGCTTTTGACCCACAAATTTGTTAAAATGATCATTTTGTCCTTGGACCAAAGCTGAAAATATGGTTCACCACAGGGACCAAGTTTGTAATTTTCTCTTAATTTTTTAATTAAGGTTTATAAGATTTTGTTAATATATTAATTTTAACCCACAAATTTGTTAAAATTACCATTTTGCCCTTGGAACAAAACTGAAATAAAGCATACCATAGGGACCAAGTTTGTGATTTTTACCTTTTTTATTTTTATTTTTATTTAGTTATTTATTTTTTTAAAGTAAGGTCTATAACATGTTAAATATCCATATGGTTTTTCTAAATATATGATTTTTTTAGTGTGTATTGTAAATTGAATTATTTATTAATATCTTAAATCATTTATATACTAATATAACTTGCCATTTTAAAATATATTATTCTATTAATTATTCTCTACGCTCTTCTGATCATTATTCTAAATTTTTTATACTTCAAAATTTTAATATTTTAGTGCCCAAAATTTTCTTTTACAAACATTTTATGTCTGTATATTCAGCAACGTACATGTTTTAATTCCTACTGTTTTTTAATCAGTTTTGGTCCAAGGGCAAACTAGTCATTTAAAAAAAATGAACAGCTAGGTTAATAATTTAGACGCCAAAGAGACCAAAATAGTTGGGAAACTTCAAAATAAGGATCAAATTTGCAAGATAATGTCTTTAGGACCAAAATTGCCAAAAACCAACTATACCCAAGGACCAAAAATGTATTTCACTCTAAACATTATAACAACCTTAGAATATCTGATTCTCATAAAGATTTTGGTTTTCTTGTTTGCAGAATCTAAATTCAAATTTGTCACTATGGAAACTTGGAACCCTACCACCAGCCCTAATTGCATTTAGAGGTCAAATCCACCCGATTGACCCATCATGGCACATGTTGGGTTTGGGTTACCAAAAGAACACAAGCATCCAAAGTGTAAAAAAAGCAGCTGTAATCCACTACAATGGTCAGTCAAAACCATGGCTAGAAATCGGGTTTGACCATCTTCGACCTTTTTGGTCAAAATACGTTAATTACTCCAATGATTTTGTCAAAAACTGCCACATCATGGAGTAGCTATGGCCCACATCAAAGTAAAAACAAAGAATTTTGTCAACACAATGCAATGCTGCGCATAGGGCTGGACCCCAAACCCTAAACCCTGGACCTTAATTTATTCTGATAATATATATTGAGCATTGCGTATACGTTAAATCAATAGGATGATGAAATAATAGAAATTAAGTATCGGGCTGAGATTGATGGAGAAGATGCGTATTTAAAACTTTGGCTCGATTAGCTTCAGAAAAAAAAAGAAAAAGATATGATTCTTTGTTACGATATAAGTTTATTTTTATATAATTGTGTCAAATTTTAGGGATGTAGAGGGTGGGTTCGAATTTGTTTGTTTACAGGAGGGGGAACATTATTTTTAGGTTATATCTGTCGGTATTGGTGATATGTACGATTCATGAGAAACATTTTAAAATGTGCAGTAAATTCTTTTTGGTATCTACACGTTTATAATGTGTGTATTTATGTTTTTTTTTTTTTTTTTTTTTTTTTTTTTTTTTTTTGTTGCGTATCAAGTGTTAAATCCCTCAATGTATTAAAAATGCTCCTCTTGTTTTCTATTTGTTAATGTGCCTAAGTGAAGTTGATCGTTTTTGCATACATGGTCTAGCACACATGGTTTTGAGGTGGTATATCTATGGAAAAAGGTAAGGGCCCAAATCTCGGCAGCTGTTGTAGTGTAAGAGTTTTAGTTTAATTGTGGATTGAGTTTTTTTTGTAGTGGGTCAAAAAAGTTATAGTTAAGTTGTGGTGGATTGGGCCTTTTGTGGAAACTAGTAGCTAGCAGCTCTGTTGTTGATCCATCCTTTTCCCTGCTAGTTGTGACTTGTATGTCCAGCCAACGACCATCAATTCCTAACGAATCCATGGATTCTTCTTCCATTCGACCAAATCTTTTAGATTGTATTCTCCTTTTCCGGCCTCGAGCAACTTTACTAATAAGGGAAAAACCCTCGACTTAATTGAATTAATATTATATTAGTATAATATAAAGCGCTAACGCCCAACCGGCTTTTTGCTTCCATTTGGTCATGCTACTATGATGTAACGTGCAGTCAATGTTTTAAACCGGCCGGTCGAACCGGTTGGACCGATAACCGGGGGAGGAAGCGGTTAAACTATCACTGGTTTTACGTGGATTTCTGAACCGGATTGAACCGGCCGGTTTTTAGAAAAACCCGGTTGAACCAGTCAAAATAAACCGGTTAAACCGAATAAAAATACATGGAAAAAAACCATTTACATAATAAACTTTGGTGATTTTTTTTCAAATCTATTTAGTTTTTTCTAAATAAAAATATATGGTAAATGTTATAAAGTTTTTGATGTGTTTGTATTCAACTAAAACTTATATTTTGTTTCGGTATTATACTTTTTTTTCTTTTTAACATATATGGATTGATGTAAAACACTAAAACTTATAGTTATGTGTTATTTTAATGTATTTGGATTCATCTCCAACTTATTTTTATGTGTATTTTTAATGTTGGAACTTGTAAACATCAAATTCATGATTTATATATATGTATGTATGTGTAGGAAAATAGGAAAAACATTAAAAATATAGAAACCGATTGACCCGGCGGTCGAACCGGTTAAACCGGGAACCGATAATTATACCGGTTCAATTTAAAAAATCGGTTTTTAAAACAGTGCGTGTAGTCGTCCCGAGGCATTTTAGGCCCCCTTATTTTCTCTCCCTTAAAGTCCTTTATGGGTTTCAAGTCAGGAATAGAGCTGTGACTTATTCGGCGCTATATCACAATTCATTCATTCTGGGCATAACTGTTCATGAAACATGGCATGGGACATCTGTCGGCAGTGGGTGAATTCCGAGCGAGAGGTCAAACCAATCACATTCATCCTGGTCTGATCCAAACATATCTTATTGAATGAATTGATCCATTGTTCAATGACTATGCCCTACTCGGCTTCATTGGTACCCTTTCGGTATGCGTTGCGAACACTTTCGTTTTTAGCGACTCATTGTAACACCCGTTTATTTAATAAATAAATAAATAAATAAATGATTGTATAATTGCCCTAAAATCAAAAATTATATAGCAAGGTGTTGGTTTCCGGGAGCCAAAGGTTACAATGTTAGAAGTCGGGGGTTAAAGTGTAAAGTTTCGGATTAGATTCGTAAATATCTATGAAGGCAGTGACTAAAAATGTTAACATGGCTGAAGTTTGAGCATTGGACTTAAATTGAAATGGATTTGGAATGCTGGGGGATGTTTTAGTAAAATCTGGACTTAATTTGTAAAGGAATTGAAGGGGCAGGGTTTAAATGGTAAATTATAGACTTCTTTTGAAGGGATTTTATAGAGGAGGGGCCGAAACTGTCATTATGGAAAAGATATGATGAGGGATCGGACATATAGCTTCATTACCCGTCAAACCCTAACCCTAAGCCCCTTATGTTGCAGCCGTCACATACATCCTCTACCCTTCAGCCGCCACCTCCTAGCCTCGCCATAAATCGATGAACGCCGCTGCCATCCTTCCTCCGCCATCGCTCAGCCTCCGCCTCCGTGACGCCATGGTGAACCGTCGATCGTGTGACTCCGACGACTAGAGTGAAGACTGAGATAGCGGTTGTAGTTGCTATTCTACACCGCTGCCCTCCTCCTAATTGTTCTGCCAATCCAAGTGCCGCCGTTGGAACCCTAAGACCACCGAGAAACTACCGCCGCTACCCGCCTACGTGGAAGATGAAGTTGTCGCCGGTTGTCACGACTGCTAGGGTTGCTTTCCGATCCATCCGTTTCTCCACCATCTTTCCGTTATTGTGTCGTCACTGCTGCCCAACGACGAAGCTTTTTCCCGATGACGTTGTGGTTGCCGCTAGTGTCGTTGCTGCCCACCACTTCGGGTAATCGTCGCCGCCAACCGCCACCAGGAGGGTGGCTGGATCCGTTTGCAAGCAGAAAATGTATGTGTGTGTCTATTGCAGTTAAGTGGTGTTAGGGTGTTGCTTAGCCGAAATTCTTGAAGAACAGCCACCACCACCACCATGAGGTGGTGGCTGCCACTATGTGCCGCCATGTATGTGTTTATCTTAGTGAGTGGGTGTGTGTTTACTTGAGATTTAGCCTTGTAAAATGTAATTGGAAATGGAATAATGAAAAGGAAAACCCTAACTACCACCGTGAGGTGGTGGCTGCCGCTTCCTGTCGCCACCAGCCGCCGCGTTGGGTGGTGGTGTGCTTATTTGTGTTTGGATGTCGTTTGGGATTCTTGGACTCGATTGGACTAGAAACTCTAACCACCACCGTGAGGTGGTGGCCGCCGTCGTGAGCCACCGTTGACCACCACTACCCGAGGTGGTAGTGGGTGATGCCCGATTAGTGAAACCCTAATGGGCCTAGCAAAACCCTAATTGACCTAAGGAAACCCTAATGGGCTTAAGGACTTGATTTTGAGCCATTGGGCTAAGATGGATTGGAAACCCTAATTAGGGTTTGGAAAACCCTAATGCAATGAAACCCTAATTTGGGACTTATCGGGACCGCATCAGAATTATTTAATGAACTTAAAATATTAATTAATAACCAATTGCAATTAACCCAAGGCCAGGTGGGACTTAATGGATTAAGTCCTTGATGGGTTAAGTAGGAACACTTAACCCTAATCATCATTTCATGTGAAAACCCTAATTTCACTTGGGTTTATTGTTGGGCCTTTCTATTGGGCCTTGATGATTTGATAATTAATGGGCCATCCAAGAATAATCATATGGACTAGAATATGTTGGTGGGCTTAGGGTAAGGCCCATATGAGGGTTTAGGCCCAATTTGGAAAGTTGGGCCATAAGGGCCATAGTTTGGACCTTAACAATTATATGATATTGGGCCAGTAGAATGTCAAAAGTTGGACTGGAATAAATGGTTGGGCCTTAGCGTGAGACCATGTAGAGGTTTGGGCCCAATTTGGAAAATTGGGCCATATGTTGGGCTTTGACTCATAGTTAACTTTTAGGCCTTTGGATTGGGCCTTGGGCTTGAATAAAGCTAAGTTAGGGGTAAAGTAGTATTTACCCCCAAGTATGTATTTATGGTTATGTGTTGGAACCCAATTATTAATTGGGTGATGTTTTGATATTGACAGTTCGAGAATCTGTCATCCAACAGCTGGGGGTTATGTCTACGAGACTTCATCATTGTGAGGTGAGTTACCTTCCAGTAGCGGTGGGTCTACGGCCACAATGCCGGCCCACCCGTAGGCGTTGTATGTTAGATGATTGTCTTTGTGATATTCATCTAGGTTTGCTACTACCTGATACGTTTATGTGCTAGCATGATATGTTATATGTGATAGTGGTAGTAGGGGGAGAATAGTCCCCAAGTTCGGTCGTTAGGACCGAAGGGTAGGTCGGGCACCCCAGGATTGCCTGCCAGTATGTTATGCTATGATATTATGTGGTAGTAGTAGGAGGTGAAATAGTCCTCGTATGTCGGTTGTAAGGACCGACGGGTAAGTCAAGCACCCCAGAATGGCTTGACCTGGGTAGGTCAGGCGCCCCAGAATTTTCTGGCAGTATATATGTGTTATATTATTACGTGGTGGTGGTAGGGGGTGATATAGTCCTCGGTAGTCGGGTGAAATAGACCGATGGGTAAGTCACACACACTAGAATGGCTTGACCTGGGTAAGTCAGACACCCCAGAATTGCCTGGCAATATGTTATTGTATGGTGTGTGGTATGATGAGGGAACTCACCAAGCTTCGTGTTTACGGTTTACAGTTTTGGTTTCAGGTACTCGTTTTCAAAGGAAATGAGCCGGCTTGATCGCAGCGCATCACACTATGTTTTCCGCACATGAGATCTTTGGGATTACACTCTGATATGATTTTATGATAATATGTTTTGATTATTGACACTTTGGTTTTGACATGAGATATTAATATGAATGTTTTTATACCGATGGTTTTATATAATAACTTAATTAAAACGAAACTTTTGGTCTTGAATTTTGGGATGTTATACTCATCTTCTCTATAGAAGCAACACTCGAACAGATAGAACAAATGGTCCAACTACAAAACCTTTTCTTTTTCATTACTTCCATGTTCATGCCCTGTGCCAGAGGCTTTGATTCTTTTTACTAAAAAAATAGAAAAAAAAAACATCAAAGGAAACTTTGTATATAAATTCTTATACACAATCAATTAACTTTGTTTGGCATATTTCATAACTAAAACTGTTTCATAGTTCATAGAGGTGAGTAGAGACACAATCTCATGAATGAGTGAATGAATTGGACGATATATCTCAACATTTAATTAAACGCTCATTGGTTAACGTTGTTGGATATTTTACTCAACTATAAGATAATAATTGCTATATCTTGTAAATTGATTATGGTTTTTGACCATACACTATTGTTGGTTTATGTTCCATTTTTATAGAAAATGTAAGTGTAGAAGCTAGAAATAAAAATTATGTTAATTTAACAGTAAATAATGCTTAATAGTTTTACTAAAAATATGAAACCATCACGGGAAATATTAACTTGTTTATAGTGATATGCCTAACTTTTAAAAGAGATTGAGATTGGATTCCAGCTAACCATCCCTAGTTTCTAACTAGAGATCATCAATAAAAACTTTACTAACCACATTTAACCGGATAACAGATAAGTCATGAATATTATCCTCACTCATTGTTTGAAGTTGTTATCTTAATCAAAATTAAATGAATTCATCTTCCAAGGGATCACGTGATATTGTTACATTTGCAAGAGATATGATGAAGCGTCTTTTCCATGTCATTTGAAAAAGCGTATGAAAGCTCTTTGAATTTGAAAGGCTAGTGTAAATGCATCAACAAGTCTTCAGTAGTCCTTTCACATTCTTTCTTTCACACGATTCGTATGACCCCAAAAAGTTCAAATTTCATAGAAATTACAATCTCCTTTCCTACACATTTCCGATTATTTTCTTCACGCTTATATAAACCTCTGTTTTTTCTTTCAAATTCATCAGCAAAGAAAACCTATCGTTTTTGTTCTCACGAAATTCATCACTGTAGTTGAATCCAGATCGATTTCTTTGATCTAAGTAAGCATCTTTTGATCCATGTAATATGTCTCTATTCTATGATCATTGTACATGTAAATGAAAATTTGGATCTTGACTTTGTTCTTAATTTTGACTTGACTTGTGGTATAGATGTTACCCACTTGAGAATTTTAGCAGATGAGAAAATTTTGGTGATTATTGGCTTTTGTTTATATTAATTCGAACGCCCCAGTTAACGATTTCACTACACATATCTAAAGATTTGTGGGTAGTTCTTCTTTTCTTGATTTATAGGTTTAAGTTTAACACCTTGAGAATTTTACTATAAGCTATGTTCTTAGGTGGTTGATCGATTCTTGACTTTTCTTGAAGGGATTAATTATTTAATTTTGCAAATTTCATATTAAAAAGTTGTGTGCTTGTTTATTTGAAGCTAAATCCTACTGGAAGTTTAATAGTTGATATATTTAAAAGCTGAATCAATTGCTTATCTACATTTTATTCAAAAGCATATGGATAACTAATATAGTACCAACACTTTTAGAATCTATTTTAGTAATTCCAATAATATACTAAGTACTAGTTTAATAATGCCTTTCTAATAATATTCTTTAGTGGTTTCATGACTTTTTTGGGATACATTTTGTTAACCTACTTGGTTTTGATTCATTAACTTCCTTGAAATACTCATAAAAAAATCTGGCCATCTTGATTCTTGCATTTGTATTGAGTAATTATAATTGTTTTTTTGCTACGATTGTTCTTGTTTTTTCTTTAGATAATTACATAACAACTAAGGATGTTTTGGATGTGTCTTTAGAAAATGATTGCATGATTATCTTGTTTTTAGTGTCAGGAGTGCCAGATTCACTTGAGATCAAGTTTCTTTTGATTGATGGATCGGTTATTGGTCCTACAAGCTTCCCAAAAGCCACAAGTGTGGCTTCCTTGAAAGAAAAGCATCATTTCTCAATGGCCTGAAGGTTAGAAAACATTTTTTTCTCAATGCATTTTTTAGGTAGTGTTTGATATGATTGAATCTAAGAAAAAATAAAAAGGTTCGTTGTATTGGAATCAAAGTTTTGTCAGATATAATGGAAAGGATGGATCTGATTTCACCTATTTTATCAATTGTCATTCCTGACTGGTGAGGGAGTGTCAGTGAGTTGTTTTTTTTTTCATTTGATCGTCGAATGGAAAATTGTAATATAACCAAACTTTTTGTAGAACTTTCAATGTCACATATTCTTTTAAGAGTCATGATTTTAATTAAATTGTAGTTTTATTTCCTAAAACTAACCAGAATTTTTATTTTTATTATTTTAATGTGGTTTCTATAGCTTTTATTATTATTATTCTTGTTTTTTGTCTTGTAAATAATAATTTCTATAATAACAGCTAAATAATATATAGACTAGTATTAAAACTATACTTAGAATTTACATAAATATTAAATACTCTTAATTATGAAAATAAATTTCATTCAATCTAAGCAACCCAACATGATAAAAAATATATGACTCATTCCGTTATCTTTCTTATTCTACTAACTTGGTCATTCCATTCCTTCGATATTTTCTTTATTCGTCATTCCATTCCATCAATTTAAACAGACTTTTATTTTTGCGTTTAGAAAAAATATTGTTATTCTTTCTTGACTAAATGAAAGAATTGTATGTTTTATTTTCTACAGGGAAGGAAAATGCTCCAAGAACGATAATAGATATAAAATTAATTAGTAATGGACAAGTATTGGAGAACAGTAAAACGGTTGGAGAATGCATGAGTCGGTTTTGTGATGTTCCTTGTAGCATTACAACCCTGCATGTAGGTATTAACCAAGCACCTCAAGAAAAAGGTTAGCCTTTTCTTAATATACTCTCAACTAGCGGTTTTTTATTGATTTAGTTATTGAAGTCTTAACAATCAATGAAAACTAATAGTTTAGTGGCAAAATTTATAAATTAATAAAAACATGTGTTGTTTTTCCCTTTTTCAGTATCAGAAAAAATGTTTTTCTCATCAAACAATCAGAAAAGATAGAAACATTTAATCACTAAGAAAAAAAATAATCACTAAGAAGATCGGTAAAACAGCTAAATTAAAAGAATGATAGAAATACTTAGCTTTTTTTTTTATAAATTAGAGGTACTGTATGTCCTGTACCTTAAAAAAAATTAATAGTCAAAGAAAAATATACATTCTAGAAAAAAAAAACCGACCACACGTATTTCTTTATTCATGGATGTTGGGGTGTTTAAACAATTAATGATTTTGTGCTATTTAAAATTATTGCATTTAGTGGTCAAATTCAAACAATTGAGCCATCATAGCAAGTGTTGGGGTTGGGCTACCAAAAGAACACAAGCATCAAGAGTGTAAAAAGGTGGTTGTACTTCATTACAACGATCCATCAAAGCCATAGCTAGAGGTTGGGTTCGAGCATCTTCGTCCGTTTTGGTCAAAATATGCCGATTACTCTAATAATTTTGTCAAAAATTCTGTTGGTTTGACTTTTTGCTATAAACATTTTCCTATCGTATGCGTTCATGCTTTCTTCGTAGCGTCTTAAATCCCTAGATTCTAGTGGTTGCATCTTTAATGTACTAAATATGTGTCATAAATTCAAGTGTTTGCATGTCCAATGTACTAAAGATGTTCATCCTGTACACAAAGCTTTTATTTATGCATGTACTACATGTTTACACACCTAATTGAAGTCTGTTGGGAGGTATATTTCAAAAAAAGTCAAGGATCCAAGTCCTAAAATCTATAGTTGAGAGTTTCAATTTCAATGCATATTGAGCTTTTGTAAGCACTTGCATCTCTCAAGGAAAAAATTGTCTTTTACCTAATTTTACATTTAACATGGATGGGCCCGTGTGGGCCGACTCTAGAGATGCAAGAAGAATAACCATTTATGTAGGAAAGATTATTGATTTCTTATAACTTTGTTTTCATGGAAAGTTAAAATGCAATTTCTTTTATGAGTGTAGTGACCCGATTATGATGACGTATGCAGAATTGTAATGATCAAGTGAATCTAAAGCAATATCGAAGAACACACAATGTAAATAATCTCATTTAAGCTCTCATTAGATCTAGTAAGCTATTATAAAGTGGGTTATGTAATAATTCTCTCACTTGACTAATCTCTCAAAAATGGTTATTACATAAAATAGGAGCCACTCACTTTTTATTTATAGGAAAGGCTAAACCCATTACACATCCAAAGAGGGTAAGCCACATCCAAGAAGAATTTTGCACCCTAACATTCTCCCCCTCAAAGTTAGGATTGGATGTCCTAGATTCAATATCCAAACGAGCTCCAAGCGATTAAGACGAACTCTCCCTCGAAGTAACACCGGTCTTCAAATCCGCTTTGAAAACGAATACCTAATAATCTTTGAATACCCATTTCAACATTCTCCCTCTTTTTTATAATTAACAAATGATTACAAAACCCACAAGGGTATGAGAAGCGCTCGCAGAATAAACCATACAAAACTCCCCCTCGATGTGTGACACGAATCTTGCACGAAAAACAATCACGAAAAGTCAAGGAAAAAATCTTCAAAAGTTGTGAAGATTTTGACTTTTGGGTGAAAGTTGCAAGAAATTCAAAAACTGGGTAAAAACTGTCATTTTCGCAAATACTGCAGGGACCCGTTGCAAAATATCAGCTTCAAATGCGAAGTGGGCATAAAGTGTCAATTCGTATAAACTTCAGGGACTGAATCTGGGCATAAAGTGTCAATTCGTATAAACTTCAGGGACTGAATCTGAAAAATCTTCCCACTGCATAGAATTATACCCTCAATTCGGAATTGGGTATATTCCGCCAAAACGCTGAAACTGCAGGGACACAATTAAAACATGAAATCTTTTTACCTAATTTGTTTCAGATGCGAAACAACATCAGTCGAATTCGATTCTTAACCCAAGTAACACTTAGTCAAATTCAGGTCTCTCGATTCGAACTAACAAACAACACGTAATCGAAATTGATTTCGACTCCAAGCAAATACGTTCGATTCTAAGTAAATTTCTTTCGACTAATAACCTAAAAAACCCGTTGAATTTGACTCCAAACAAAACCGTCAATACTCGACTCGAACGACACCAAATACATGTGTTCGACTCCAAGGAAGTTGCTTTCGTTCCCAACCTGTTTCCAATTCGTTTCGACTCCAATCAGTCAAAATTAGTTCGAATCAAATCAACACTAGTCGAAATTATGTTTGACTCGATTCAACACTTAGTCGAAATCGATTTCGATTCCAAATGAGCACAGGTTCCACCCATCAGTCGAAATCGACTCCTTAAGCTTTCGATGTTAGTCAAATAAACAATCACTGTCGAAATCCTCACTCTCGACTCAAAAGAAGTCTCGACTCCAAGCGATACCGGCGAAATTAGTTTCGACTCCAACCAAGTGACATTTGAGTCTTCATCTCAAAATCTTGTTTGACTCATAATCATCGTTCAACTTAACAAAATATATTCGACTTGAATGACTCAAAGCATTGTCATCGAAACCGACTCAAACGATCACAGTACCAGTTGAAATCAATTCCAAACATCTTGAATCAATTTTCAATCCCAAGCGATTCTACAACAGTCAAACTCGCATTCTTTAAGCTCGAGATTCCAACTCTAGATTCGAAATAAGTCTTTTGTATCTCAGGTAACCGGTCGAAATCAAAATATCGATCATCACTGAAACACGTTTCAACCGACAATCTCCAATTTTGAATTTCGATTTCAATCTAATATCAATCTAATTTCCATTCGACTTCAACGATATCCAAGTTAATTGCAGCCGATCCAAGTAAAGACTTCAACATACATTCGATCCCAAGACGATTTCTTTCGATTCCAAATCCACAATCTTTAAAACCTTGATGTCGAAACTCATTTTCAGAAGTTGAATTCATTATCAAAAACCAAAACCGAGTTCCAAAATCGAATTGAATACCAAAATCGATTACTCCATATTTATTCACAGAAATCATTTGAAATTCTGAATGTGAACATCAAAATCGAACTTCACAAAATTTTAATCAACTACTTACAATCAAGACCTCGAATCGATTTGTGTCTTATGCGAGAAAGAAATAGCGTGAAACAAATTTATTGGATCGATTTCAGGTTGAACGATGAATAGTGTCCGAAGTAATTTGGGCTCAAGTTTTGGATCGATGAACAATAGTTAGAATGAGAATTTGATTTTGGGCTTGACCTAAATAAAATATATTGGATCATAGCGCTTGGGTTCCAACGATTCAAAACGATCAAAAATCAATAACTAAAGCACGAATTGAAAATATGATTGAATTTGAATTTTGAGAAAACCTGAATCGTTCTTCATCGGATCTTCAAAAACAAGGTATATAAATCATGAACTTTTTGGAATCCATTTGAGAATTTGAGAAACCTTCTTGATAATCCTTTTCCCATTTGCAATGCACGAATTGATAATGAAAGATCTCAGTTCCTTGGTTGGAATTAGAAAATCTCCAAATTTCACATTGTACCACTAATGATGCACATTGTAGCATCCATGGAACTTCTTCTCATTTCTCCAAGATCTAACTTCATCTTCATAACAAATTTGAGAATCTTCAACAATTTTGGGTTTGGAATTTGATTCCATAACCGAAGTTGATGATTTTTGCTTTGGAACCCAAATTTTCATAATTGATTTCGGCTTCAAAACGACATTTGAAGAATTTTGTTTAGAAACCCGAATTTTCTTGTTTTTGATCTTCTTCTTCTTTATCTTTTTGGATCTTGAAGTTTTGAATTCAAGAACAATTTCATTCTTCACAACTTGAACTTGGCAACTTTGAATCAAATCTTTTGGAGTTTGATAAATTTGAACTTCTTGGATTGAAAGCATTCTATATGGCACATTCCTTCAAATGAATCACAAGAATAAAAACAATCATCAGTTTGAACTTCAATTGAACAGAAAACTTTCACAACTTCAAGAGAATCCCATTGAATTCCCTTGTCTTGAACTTCAAGAACATCATGAACATGATAAACTTCTTCAAGAACATCTTCAACAAATTCAAGAGCATGAAGATCATTTGGGTCTTCAATAAGAGAAACATATTCCTTTTTTGAACAGTTCTCTTTCTTTTCTTTCATTTTTGTTACCACACCAAGATAACATAATCATGAAAATTTCAACCATACTTTCAATCTTACAAAAAGGTTGAAATATCAATTTTCCAAAATCATCTTTCTTATTTCGATAAAATACCAAAGTTTCCCATGTAATCAATCCACCTTTCAACAATAATCCATAATATTGTTCTTCATTGACTTTGTACTGGACATCTTCAATCATCACAATCAAAGAGTCATAAGCCAAATACACCATCTTTAATCAATTATCAAAAAATCACAAGAACTTGGATATTTCTAGAGAGAGAAAGTGAATTTGAAAGAAATCTCAAGAGAGAGAAAGAAAAATTGATCAAAATTCTAGAGAGAGAAATTGATTTCGACATGAATTCTAGAGAGGGAAAATCGAATTTGAATCAAGATCAAAGACCAATTCGATTTCTAGAATCAAAAACACTCTAAAAAACGAAGACCTTACAACAATTGATGATTCACCAAATCATGTTGTCATCATGGATCAATTTCTTGAACACTTCAAGAACATCCGCTCGAAAGATAAAGGAGACCATTCAGGAGTTGTTGTGGGAAAAGTCATAAGTACTCAAATCCCATCAAATATTTCGTTGAAGACCATTACTTCAACTTCCAAAACAATAACAACAACAACAACAAGTGTAACGCCCTGTTTCGAGTCATTTCCTAATGCGGGGTGGTGACCCGAAGACCGAGTATCATTAGTCTTAGGGCCTTTGAGGAGAAGATATTTAGGCCCATTTGGGTGTGGGTAATGTAATTTCGATTATCTGGGAGTTCGGTTTGTGTTTTGGAGCCAAGAGGTATTTCGGTAAAGTGTCAGTTCGGGCTTTTATGGAAATTGGATATTTGTTCGATAAGTTTTATGGCAAGGTGGAGTTGATAGAAGTGTAGAGCTTCTCATTACCTTTCTGTGGATATAAAGATAGTTGAAATCGGAGTTGAAACGAGGAAGTTATGACTGCTCGAAGTTGGAAAGGATTTGAGGGAAAACTGATCTCATGACATGAGCAGTTGGAGCTACGATGTGAGAAACAGTTAAATGGAAATGCTGATTTAAATTGTGCTCACGACATTACGGGCTCTTGACATGAGAACTGTGCAGCCCAAGCCCACGATTTTTTAGGGTTTTCAACATATATAATGGTTGGTTCCGTGTTTTGGGGTCATTTTATGAGCCTCCATCATATCTAGATCATCTTAAGAGAAACCCTAGCACCCCTTTCACCATTTTGAGCTTCCAATCTCCTCTTTCATCTATTTATGAAGATTTTGGTGCTTTGAAGAAGAAGAAGAAGATGTTCTTGGTGCTTAGATCCAGCAAGCAAGTTCCCTCACCACCTTAAAGATCATACCTTAAACCATGGTAAGTCCTCAAGATCCAACCTTTATGTGTTATTCTTCTAAGATCTATATTTTTATATGTAACAACCGGTTATTTCGAGTCAAT